GAGCATCAACACTCCTCCTCCTTTGGTGATAAAATATCGCCAAATGCAACTCTCGATGCTCATCTGCCTTCGGGAATCGTTCTGCCCTGTAGGACCTTATAGGAGAGCGGGAAATGCCCATCACAATAGTAGCAGACCTGCATCCTTCTCAGCCTTGACTTATTTGCATGTCTCAAGCCGTGACAGTCTGCCACTAAATGAAGCCGATCTCCATGTTCCGACATCACGAAGGGAGTTCTCAACCTCTGAAACCCACCTTCTCGCGCAGTGTCCAGAGCTGCCCTCAGATCCGGATCGTCCTCAGGGGTTCTTGTACTTGCTCTCGTAATTCTTGTAGCTTCATTCATAGGCCCTTGTGACACCTCCGAAAGCGGTGTTGCTGCCAATTTGGGTGTGGATACCACGGGCTTCTCGACATTGATGGGGTCCGAGGAACTTGCACTCATTGACTCCAGCTCCTGTTGCAAAGCTTTTGAAGCCTGGTTGCGGATCCTCAACAGCCGTCTAGCTTTTGTCACCGTAGCCTCGTCTTCACCGAAGCATCTCTGCGCTACCCACTTCAGGGTTTCCCAGACTGCCAGCAAAGCTATCCCACCAACCAGCAAGAGCACGTAGAATTCCACACTTCCGTCATAGTCCAGAGGCTTCTTATGATAGATCTCCGTTGCCTTGGCTCCCGGTATCTTTGACACCATCATCATCCATGCCATCATCCTCAACAGGTCATAGTAGTCTCCGCCGCGTAGACTCCGAATAACAACCTCCTCCTCACTGGCGTCGAAGTCCTCTGCAGAGCACATCCCCCATAACCTTCGGAGATCAACCAATCTCGCCACTGGGACCGGCTTTGTCCCCATGTCCGCCACCTGCACCTCTCCTGGGGTATGCACAACCTTGATGCGGCCTTCGTTGGTCTCGAACCTCAAATGGCGTGCCTTGACCTTCAGGTGCCTTGTCTTCCACGAGCCCGGCGCTGTGGTCGCGAGGCCACACGCTGCTGTATTGTCCACCCGCAGGATCAGCGGTTTGCCAGAGTCCTCTGGGGCCGCTTCCTGCACCCAAGCCTGTAGTCCCGCAGCTTGTTGACTGGCGTTTACCAACTCCACCAACTCTGCTTCCGCCGCCGACAACACCACCGTAGGCTGTTTTGTCATTCTCCATGCTGCAAATCCACCATAGGTCGCCGTAGTCACGCAGCCAAAGCTGCGGTCGCCTTGTGGGGCAAAGCTTGCGTCTGAGTACGCTTCGACGGGTTCGCCGATCCCATTGTAGGTCAACCCCCACGTAGGTGTAGCCGCAAGATATCTCATCACCATCTTTCCTAGCCGTATTGCAGCTGTAGGACTCTTCAGGGCCGCTCCACAAACATGAGCCGTCGCGTACCCAATATCCGGTCTGGTGCGAGTCACCAACCAGAGTAGTTCGCCTGCCATGCGCTGAGCCTGTTTGACCTGGTTTGGGTCTGGACTTTCTTGCTCGAATCCCTCCTCCTCATCCAGATCATCCTGTGACGGCATGGTATCTTTGGTGGCCGGGACCTGTGAAGGCCGATTTGCCTCCTGTTGGTAGCCTTTCAACAGCTCCGCGACATAGCTGCCCTGCGACACATGGAAGCTGGTGCAGGTAGTATCTTTCCGGCGAATGTCCATGCCCAGGTAGCGAACAGGAACCTTCCCAATCCACTCCATCGGTGAACACTTCCAACCTTCATCTCCCTCTGTACCAACAGTGAGCCATTGATAGATGTCTTTGATGACATTCTCTGGCGCCAACATCATCACATCGTCCACATAAATCACCATCAACGCCAGAGTATTGCTGTGGTCACTGCACGGCACCAATCTCCACACTGCAGGATCTGTCTCCATCTGTAAGAACATGCACTCTTGTCCTTCAACGACCAGTCGAGCTCTTTGCACCCTCTTATCCCTGAAACTTCCCCACAGTCTTGGCGCCTCTCGCAGCCCGTAAAACACTCTGTCCACCAAGTACGCCGTGCTCGGCGGAACTGCTCCAGCTTCGACGACGACTTTCGGTACGGTGATTCCATACTTGACTTCTGCTTCATTCATTGGTGCCAGGGTAAAGGCGGAATTCACGTCCGTCACCGCTCCAAACCAACGCCGCCTGGCGGCGAGCGATAATGCCACCCGCACTGATTCCGCGTTGGCCGCGGCCGTGTAGACTTCGACCTCGTTGCTGACGTGATTGCCACATATCACCATTCTGGTTTTTCTTTTGTATAACTGATTGCCACTTCCTCCCGAAGGAGGTTTCACAGTGTGCACCGTTTTGGACGGTACCAGGACAATCTCCCCGGCGTCCGCGAGGCGCTTAGCTTCTTGAAGTGGTAATCGACGAAGCGTACCAGATGTTTCTAGGACCTCAATCTCTTTCTGAATGCTCTCTTGCCACTTCGCCAAATGTCGCTTGACCTCCTGCAGCTCGACCCCGTGCACGGTGTCAATCGGCTCGACCAAGGCCTGGAGCATCTCTTCCACCTCCGAGGTCGTCTCAGACTCCTGGGCCAACTTCATCATACTCATAGTCGCCTGCTCCCTCGCCTGGTGGCTCAAGCAGAGGATCTCGTTCATGTAGTCAATGGCGTCGTCTAGCTTGTAGAATAGTTGTCGCTCACGTTGTGTGGCATACTCACCTCGCTCGGCTTGCCTTGCTTTAATCTTGCGTTCTTCCTCCACAAACTCCGACAGCCATGTCACCCTGCTTCTCATCCGCTCCTCCTCATCGTGTGCCAGTGGCAGTAGAGGAGCTGATGTCATCACGACCTCCTCACCCTGACTTGAGAGGTCCGGGATGTACTTGATGGCCCACTTCAACCGAAGCTCCACGCGACCTCCTGGAACCACCATGCTATCCAGCCGCTCTCCACCCATTTCAGGAAGATGCTCCCTCTGCCCCGACCTTGACCCCGACGAAGACGATTGTAGTGTATGAGGTGCTGGGGTGCCTGAACTCACATCCATATGATCCTCTGACACCGGCCTTGGCAAGGTCGACTCGCTTGACGACCCTGGCCCCAAGAAACTCGCCCCTGAAGTCATCATCGTGTTCGTTGCTCCGGTCGGAGGAGCTGCTGTAGTCCCTGTCGATGGACCTACAACCCCTGGGTTCTCCTCCGGGATTGGTGGTGTAGGTGGCCTCCGCCTCCCATCAGCATTCATCATCTTCACCACTGGCTCACGTTCCGGTAGGACAAAACCCAGCTCCTCCAAATCAGCGCACTGACATTGACGTAGCTTCTCCCACTTGCTCACCGTATAGCCTATCACCACTATGCGGTCTCCATCATC